CTGACCATTTCCATCACCCCCTCTGGATGTGCTCTGGTGGGTCCACGTCTGTCTTGTACTGAGGCTGAAACTGCAGCCGTGCTTACTGAGCACGAGCACTCAGAGGAGCAGAAGACTTTAGGTCGAAGTCTCCCACTGCTTCCAGTCCCCATGGAAGTGTGTGACCAGGGAGGTGAGTGCACACGTGCCCCCTCTCTTGACCTGCTGGTCATGCTTCTTTTGACGCAGCTCGGGACACGGTTGGCTTTCTGGGCTGCAAGCGCACGTTGCCAGGTCACGGCCAATTCTTCAACCTCCAGTACCCTTCTCCTCAGGGCTGCTCTCTGTCCCTTCATCCCCCAGTCCGTGCTGATGTTGGGGATTGCCCCGACCCACATGCAGGACCTTGCCTTTGGCCTTGTTGAACCTCATGACGTTGACATGGACCCGCTCCTCCAGCCTGTCCAGATCCCTCTGGCTGACATCTCTTCCCTCCAGTATATCAGTTGTGCCCCACAACCTGGTGTCATCCACAGACTGGCTGAGGGTGCACTCAGTCCCACTATGTCATCGGTGAATCAAGTCCGGATGTCATACGTTACAAAGGCGGTTGGGGTTTGACAGCTTGTAGTAAGGCTGTTCTTAAAACTTGGCTGTTGCATGCTGCACCGCCTCGCAGGTGCCGTGCATCTCAGGGCTGTGGAGGCATTGCTGGGAGCCCTTCACCACAGTAACCGTGGTTCCAGCTCCCTCCGTTCTTCTGTCCCACCGTCCGTCCCTGCCACGCTTCAGCTATCTCATCCGAAGACAGGACTTCAAGGTCGCTACAGTACATTGCGAGGTGCAGTTCTTCCTGACTGGCAGGAGGCCCTCACAGTCAGATGAGAAAGCTGAAACGAGATGACATTAATCCCATGTTTAAATTCACACTCAAACCCACACGTGGGCTGGATAGTGGAGGCTCCGCACATGAGGAGCCATTCTCTGTCTGTACTTAAACAATAGCCGTGTTAAAATAACTCCAGAGATTTCCTGCAGTGAATCTCTTAACCTAAAGCTGATTTCTTTTTTTCCCATGTACCTGCTCCAAATTCTTCTTTATTCCTTCTGGATGTCAGTGTCTGCAAAACTTTAATTCGCAGGAGCCAGCTTGCTGTCAGAGATAAGCATCATGATATTTGCATCGTATATCCTGCCAGCTCTGAGGAGCCTCCTCCGCTGGAAGTGCTGGAATGAACTTATGACAAATACAAGGAATGAAAGTCTCTCGCAAATGCACTTTCTGGCATGACTTAAATTAGCTGAAATTGCTGACATTTTGCCTTTTTCAGATGTGTGTCAGTGTCCATAGACTTTTGTTTCAAACAATGGAAAGTTATTCAGTTAAATGTTGCCGGAACAACAAATCTGGGAGATGCTAAGTGTACGTTAGGTGAAGGTTACTGGAATGTATCTGGGTCCTGCAGTACATGTGTTGTGAAGACAAACGTGCAGTCTCTAACCTTGGCTGATCTCACGGAACTGAAGGATACCACCAGTTCAGATGCCATAATTCTGCCTGGAACTTGTTTTCATATTATGTTTAATTTGGATGGGCTGAACGTTTCCAGTGAAAGAAAGGTTTAATGACAAGTAATTTTGCTTGAACCAAAAGATTTCCTTAAAGACAAAGAAGTTCTTTGCCTGCTGGTGGAGTCTCCCATATTGGTGTCAGTAGCTCTGCTAAAACTAAATTTAGAATAAGTGACACTTTCTTGTTGACGAGAATCAGAGCTCTTCGGCAACTTCACATCTCCACAGCCAGAACCCTCTAATTGACAAGAAGTCTTGGTTATTAAACACGCGGCTGATAACGCCGTCTTCCGCATCTCAAGGCTGTAGTTAACCTACATGTACAAGTCAGTGCGGTCACTGTATATACGCTGTTCATTTACATAACCGGTACGATACGGCCCACCACAGGTGTGTGATCTGCAGATAGAAAATGCACCATGAAAAGCTGATAAATACCTCGAAAGAATTTATTAGATGTTGAAGCAGCAGCTCATCTAAAAGTAGAGCTTCAGTGTCCCCTCTCTTATTGAAACCAGTGCTAATTTCAAACTTCTCTGTTGTTAACCGCTGATGAATAAACATTGACAGTACCTGAAAATTTAAAGGCTAGTTTCTGCTTTTATTCCAAATTTACACTGGCAACAGTATTTAATTAATTTCAAATTTACTCTGTAGTTTACTTTTAGAAAAGAGTTTGGCCCTAAACATTTTCGGTGAGTGAAAATCAACCCCTTAAACTTATTTGGGTTTTGTCTCATTTTTAATTGACAAATCACGACATGTCTGCTAGCTGCACGTATGTCCCGTTACACCTCCGTGCTTGGTACTAGGTTGGCAGTGCAACTTGGTGGGAGTGTGGCTGTTGCGGCTCTTTCCTCTGTAATCCCTGTTCCAGATGTGGGTTTCACTTGCCTCTTCTGTTCAGCGTATTGGAGACCCTTCAGGTACCCAGAGTGCCCCCAGACTCGCTCTGCCACCCGTTCTGACTCCTAATCGGAGTGAGCTGCTGGGAAATGCTGGACGTGGGGGTGTCTGAAGCGCTGTTTCTGCTCGCTGTAATGCAGAACTCGGGGTTGCAGAACTGTACTCAGGTGCCTTTCTGAAACGGGGGTGCAGAGCATGAAGCCACCTGCTGCAGTAAGGTGCTGCCCTGGGACTGGAGCCCTCCGGTCTTTTTTTCTGTTAAAAATGTGTTGTTTCAGCCAATTCTGCCCACGGCATAATGGCAGCATGGTTGTGTAGAAAGAAGATCTGGGATTGTAAGCCTTGGATCGATTGCATGCTCATTTGACAGCTGCTAGATTAAGTGCTTCACCGGTAATCCTTCGTTTTCTTCCCATGTTTCCCAACTAAACAAATTGAACTCTCTCAATCTCTCACTTTTAGGCATCTTCCCCGCTCTTCAGCTGGTTTTGAGACTAATACATTGGCTCTCTGATGTTTAAGCAACTTTTGAAGGATGCAGACACAGGCATTGAGTGCTGTCTTGCTAACAAGGAGGTAAGATCACCCTCCTTGCTCCTGTTTGCACGTGACGCAGCCCAGGATCGCGTTAATCCTCTCTGCTGTACCACCAGCTCTTGCCGAGATGCTCATCCGTTAGGACCCTCGCTCCCTTCCCTCTTAACTGATGGCCAGAGTAACTGCCCTCTCCTTTCAAAACAGACTGCTGTTCTTTGCCTTAGCTGCATGTCTTTGCGTTAAGCTTGGTGGACTCGGCCTCTCGAACAATCTGTGTTTTTCTGCATCACTGAGGACTCTCGTCTTTATTTGTCAGCCTGCAAACTTCTGTGCCATTTGCAGCCATTTTCTGCTCGAGTCTGGGGAAACTCCAGCCTCGCTGCCAGGCCTGTCCCTGGTCTTTGCAGAACTTGCTGTAATTACACGCAATTGCTCTGGGTTCTAACGGAATCATTTGTCAAGATCTTCGTTACTTCTAATCCATTTAATATGGGCTTTTTTAATACTCTCTTGTGCTATTTTTTTTTCTCACACTGTCATGAAGTAATAAATCAAATGCCCTACACAGCCCATCCGCATTATGTCTGTGCTGTTGCCTTTTCAATGAAACATTGAATTTCACCAGAAGGGGCATTACCTTTATATCCTTTAATTCTGTATTGATTGCATCCCCTCAAATTTCATTATTTTGCCTGTGAACAACTCTGTAGTTGTGTGGAAGAAGTTGAATAGTAGCAAATACTAGTTTTCTTCCAGTCTCCTGGAATTACTCCAGGTTAAGAATAAATCACTTTTAAGATCAGAGTGCCACAGATTTGTCCAGTTCTGGATCTTTCACCAAATGTTGTTCTGATGTACAAATTTTTGTTAATACTGTTTGACAAACTAACGTTTGACATCATTGGAGGACTGAAAGATGTCTTATCCCCTGTGCTATAACAACAGCAAGCAGTTCTTCCTGTGCTAAATATTTTACCAGTTTTATTACTTAGCATTCCAGGTGGGCCTGAAACATTGCTAGGTTTCATTCATTGTAGTACTTCAGTGTGGCCAGCCCTGAGTTTCCACTGATGTTCATTTTTACTGCTATGATTGCAAATATATATTGATTTCTGTCTAATACCTCTTCTAAAATTTTTGACAGATAACTTTTTTTAACTAGATTTTCCTTCTACTCTCCCCAAAACCACTACAAAATACATACTGAAGTCTTTCCTGGCCCTGGAAGGGAGATTTTTCACCTCCCTAAGGGACTGAACCCAAATCCACAGAACAGTTTGAGCATCGGGTTAGAAGTCAGATGTTCCTTAGGTTAAACCCTGCCTCTAGCCTAGACCTGCAGGGTAGCGCTGCTCAGGTCACTCAGGTTGGTCCTGTCTTTAAATCAAAGGTAGTAGAGGTCACCCGATTCTCAGGTTTGGTCTGGGTGATTCGTTTCTGTCTGAAGACAACTGACATATTGCTTCGTGGAGAGAACAGTTTCTCTCCATGGGCTACGGTCGAGGCTGAGACGGCTAGCTGAAGCTTTAACAAGGCTTGACCACCTCCGTGGAGTTAAAATAAATCTTAGTGGTGAGACATAGCCAACAGTGCCTGTAAAATTTCATGGGAGCTTAGCTTTCAATCCACTGTGTTTTAGAGATTTCAGCCTGAAGTGTAAATGTTTTTGTTAACGTTTGAAATACAGAGCAGCCGTGATTTTAATTTCTGCTCAGGAGTAGCTTTGGGAGCACGTTCTGTTTGTGAAACAGCAGTTAACTGCTACTTTTTTTTTATAGCGGACTTCTCAAAAGCCTGCGGAGGAGACGTAGGATCTTCAAGCAAATTCTGGCAGCTGGAGTTTCCTGGTAACAGGTGATGCTATAAAAATGCTTGTGTGTTGGTTGTAAAATTCTAGAGTTTTCTGACTCTCTTGGTTGAATGTTTGCAGCATTTAGGCTCAAACTGATAAACTCATCAATATTTGGGGGTTTTGTTTGTTTTTTAGATAAAATTATTTGACCACCATGAGTTGGAGTTTTCTGACCCGTCTGTTAGAGGAGATCCACAATCACTCAACCTTTGTTGGCAAAATCTGGCTGACAGTGTTGATTGTATTTCGGATTGTGCTAACTGCTGTGGGAGGAGAATCCATTTATTACGATGAACAAAGCAAGTTCGTGTGCAACACGGAGCAGCCTGGCTGCGAGAATGTTTGTTACGATGCTTTCGCTCCTCTTTCACACGTGAGGTTTTGGGTCTTTCAGATCATTCTTGTTGCCACTCCATCTGTGATGTATTTAGGCTACGCAATTCATAAAATTGCCCGGATGGTGGAACACAGCGAAGCTGACAGAAGAATCCGAAGCAAAAGCTTTTCCATGCGCTGGAAACAACACCGTGGCTTAGAGGAAACTGAGGAGGACCATGAGGAAGACCCGATGATGTACCCAGAAATAGAGCTGGAGAGCGAACGGGAGAATAAAGAGCAGCAGGCCCCTGCCAAAGCTAAGCATGATGGCAGGCGGCGAATCCGTGAAGATGGACTCATGAAAATTTATGTCCTGCAGCTTCTGGCGAGGACTACATTTGAAATCGGCTTTCTCGTGGGTCAGTATTTTTTGTATGGCTTTGAGGTCAGCCCCATATTTGTGTGCAGCAGGAAGCCGTGCCCGCACAAAATAGATTGTTTCATTTCAAGGCCAACCGAAAAGACCATCTTCCTGCTAATAATGTACGGGGTGAGCTGCATGTGTTTAGTTTTGAATGTCTGGGAGATGCTCCATTTGGGATTTGGCACAATCCGGGACACGTTGAACAACAAGAGAAAAGAGCTGGAAGACTCCGGTACCTATAACTACCCTTTTACTTGGAATACGCCATCTGCTCCTCCTGGCTATAACATCGCGGTCAAGCCAGAGCAAATGCAATATACCGAACTGTCCAACGCCAAAATGGCCTACAAACAGAACAAAGCCAATATAGCTCAGGAACAGCAGTATGGAAGTAATGAAGAAAACATTCC